GTGCTTCCATTTGGCTATCTACGCATTCATCCTACTTGTAATTCGATGAGCTTTATGGATGTTTACATTCATGTGAACTTGAGAAGTTTTGGGAATTATTGCTTCATATCTCTCTGCCTTTTCTTCTTTCCTCTTCTGGAAAGTAAGTAAGATGATTTGCTTGATGGTGTCCCACTTGTCCCCTGGGCTCTGTGCAAGGCAAATGTTTTTCTTTTGGATCCTCAAATTTGATATTTAATTGTCCTATATTCAAGTTCACTGATTCTACTGCTTGCTCAGGTCTGCCTTTGACTGCCTCCAGTGAAGTTTTCATTTCAGTTATTATTAAGCTTTAGAATTTCAGAAATTTAGCTTTAGAATTTCTTTTCATTTAAATTTTTTACACCGATATAATTTGGTTTTTTTTTGGTGGCCAACTCAGCCCACCCTGGGAGCAGGGCTGGCGCAGCATGTGGTGCCAGGGATGGAGCCACAGTCCTTGTGCTTGCCTAAGTTTGCCTAAACAGGCACTTTGGTACACTGCGCTATCTTGCTGGCCCACTTTGCTAAAATTTCCATTTTGATTATATGCCATCTTTTTTATTTTCTTCCTATCTTCTGTTACTTCATTAGATAGTTGTAGTAGGTATTCCTTGTGACCTTTTTTAAAATTTTTCTTTGCTTTTTAAAAAATTTTTATTAAATTTTAATGAGAAAGAAATAGCAATGAGACAGTTTCACAACAGGTTAGTAGGACAGTTACAATAATTGCTACATTGTATATTGTTGTCTTTGTAGTAGTTATTCACAGTACAAGATGCTTCTGACCTTTCTGAGAGACAATTTCTCTTGGTTTATATATTTTTTCCTTTGAAGGGTCTATACTTTTTTATTTCCTTCTATGTCTTGTGATTTTTTTTGATTGAAAAGTGGATATTTGAATCTATTACTATAGTCACCTCTGGATGTCCAATTATCCCCTCTTACCAAGGTTCGCTATGTTTTTCAGTACTGAGGATTAAGCTCAGCACATTTGTACTAAGTTACCTTCCCAGCTCTTTTTAATTTTTACAGAATCTTGCCAAGTTATCCAGCCTCTCAGAGAGCTAGGATCATAGGCATGTGCCTCTGCACCTGGATCTTTTATTTATTTATTTTTTATTGTAGGCTGTTTCCATGTAAAGGATCATTTTGAAGACTGAGGTCTTCTCAAGGCTTTGCTAGGCCTCTGCCTTTCCTGGTAAGTTTTTAATTTCACCCATATGTTTGGTTATTTTTTGAATGTGCTGAACTCTAATGTATGGCCCCCAAAATAGGAAAAAACAAAAAGACAAATTAATGGGTATAAAGAAAAGTCTTTTAAATTTTTTGATAGTGTCTTCAGCTGAAGAAGGAGGAGTTTACAAAAGTGTGTGGGGTGTCTGTGTGAAACAACCCCACCATTTTTCCAGAATTCTCTGGTAAAATAGTCTTCATTTGTTATGCCAGGTATGTATAGTTGGGACCTGATATAATAACATGAGGTACCACATAATCCAGCAATCAACACTGCTGCTGCTTTTCTCATTACCACAGTGTAAGGGACTAGGAATTAATGAAGTGAAGTGGAAGTAGCTCCTCTTACAATGATATTTCTAATCCACTTGTAAAACCTCTGCCTCTCATTTCTGCAACTTTAGGCACTTCTGAGTTAGGGGCCTTGGATTTCAAGGGAGGAGTTCCCAGAGGACACAGGAATATTTCCACTGATCCAAAAATTGATATTGCTATTGGCCATTTGGGTTTCTAATTTCACTGAACCAATAGGCAAAGAAGGTAACTGACACTGATTATTGTAAGTAAAGATGGTTACTATACCTTGGGGACAACCAAGAATATCTTTGGAATCCAGAGAATTGCTATCTGGTGTTCCTCTTAGAAATTCCATGTCCTTTAGTAAAAGTTTCTAGGACATGTTAACAACACAAACAAAAACAGGGCTTTCGAAGACTCAGATCCATCAAGAGTGATGGATACCACACCAGTTAACCCCAACCAACTAAGGTACCGCATAAGGCAAAGACACATTAAATGAATGATAGAAGACGGATTTGTAAATGTCCAGTATGGCTTCCTGATCAAATATGAAAAGATGGTGCTAGTAACTGTGAATATCTTCGTGTGTATTTTCTTTTTATTTATGTATCTCTACATATACTGTGTGGGTGACAATATGTATATACTATGGATATAAGTGACTTTACAACTTAGGGTTTGTTTGGTGGTTCTTTTTTATTTAATACTTAGTACTGAACCCAGGGCCTTATACATTCTGGGCCGACACTACCACTCAGGTACATACCTAGCCCTACAACTTAGTTTGTAGAATATAAAGTGTTCATAAATTTATTTAAAAGAGAGAATAATATCATCCCAAGATGGATAAAGTAAACAATAGAATGGTTTCACCATTTTTCAAGAAGGTGAAAGAGAAGTTCTCTCATGTTAGGTGCAAGCTTGTTGTGGTTGCTATAGTTAAATAGAAATTAAATATTGAGAATAGGAGAGATGATGTGGCTCCTAGGAGTGCATGGTGGCAGTCATCTGCCTCGCGTCTCAGCCTTTGCTCCTTCCCTCTCTGTTCTCCTATGCACGATGGGGGCTTACGTACACCTTCCATGCTGACTTTCCAACTGGCTTCCAGTTACATATTGCCAGCGGAAGGAACAGTGTGAGACTGGCAGGCAGAGCAGGGGCAGAAGCAGCTCTCTTGTCTGATTTCTGACAGCATCACTGGGAGCAGCAGCAATGGCAGTACTGAATAGGGTGCTGGTGGTGGTAGGAGTTAAAGCAGCAGATCCTCAGAAGATTATAGTGATAACCTCTCTAGAAGCACACAGCATGTTTGCACTTGGGCTCCAGCCTAGCGACGCTGGTAGCTTCTGATGGCTGGGCATCAATCCTTCCTTTTTGTTCTCCCATTCTCTATTTTCTCTTCTAGACCTTCTACCATTTATGTAACCAACTCCCTCCCATTGGTGATACCTTAGATAGAATAAAGTTTAACTCGGTGGGATTTGTTAAAAAGCCTTCATCTTTTTGAGGCATGCAATGAAATATTTACAGAAGAAATTATATGAATGTGCTGATTCACTCTGGTTAGATCCACCTGAAATTTTTCTTAAGAATAATCTACAGTAGGGTGTGATGGGGGCATAGATGAAACAGAATTGGCAATGGCTTTGTAATTTCATCAGGTGCTAATCACTGGTGACAGGTGCACAGAAGTTCACTTTACTATTAACTCTTACATGTATTTGAAAATTTCCATGGTAAAATACCAATTATTATCTATACCCACTAGAAAAAGGGAATTCCATCTATGTGCAATACTGTACTTTGAGTGTCTTTTGAATTGTCAAATTAAATCTGACTTATAATGTCTTGTCCTGGAGAAAGTCTGCCCAACAATGAGGCCAACACAAAAGGAAAAAAGATGTCTGCATGTATATGTGAGAGCGAGTGAATGGGATATGCCTAGAATCCCAACAATCTGGGAAGCCGAGGCAGGAGAACTGCAAGTTCAAGTCCCACCAGTACATTTAGCTAAAAACTGTCTCAAATTGAAAACAGAAATAAAAAGGGCTGGGCATGCAGTTTGGTGCAAAGGCCTAGGGTTCAATCCCTAATACTTAAAAAAGAGGTTGTATACATGATCAAGAAATATAGATGGACACAGAGGACTGGCAATGTCCTGGGCACCTGGAACCCACTAAATGAATCACTTGAGGACTTCTTATCTAGTAACTAGTAATTTTTTTTTTTGTTTAAGCTAGTTTGAATTGGACTTGTGTTACCTGCAAGCAAAGGAAACTTAACTAATGAAATCTTGAATACAGTAATCACTATCATTATCCCAGGACCCTAAAGCAATGAATCAACCACCAGCTTCACTATCATCTCTATCATTTCTTCTATCGTGGCAACACACCATGACTTTCACCATCACCATCTCTAAGTTGGCCAATATTCACTGACCAGGTACTGTGTGCCAAGCACTGGACCCTCACCTTCCAGCAGAAGCTGCAGATCAGTGCTCTCTGCTGTGAATTTGTAACCTGCCTTGGGGAGTGTACACACCACCTGCCCATCTACCTACTATAAAGATACATATTTACAGAAATAAGATGTAACACAGTATGCTAAGCCGGAAACATTAAATCTATCTGATGTTTAGGGAAGGATGGTGCTTGGGCTAAAGCTGTCCCACAAAAGCCTCTGGCAGGGGAAGCAGGAAAGAGGGGCTGAGCAGGGCCCTGGGATGTGTACAATGCAGAGAAGGTGATGCTCACAAGTGTGGTCTCTGGAGTCAGACGAACTTTATCTAAGCCCTGGCTCTGCCACTGACTAGCTTTGTGACTGAGGAAGTTATTTAACTGTTTGTGTTTTAATGTTCTCATCTTAAAAATGAGGATTATAATAGAATACTAGGACATCTACCTTGTAGATGTCTGGGAAGGTTACATGAGTTAACACAGGAGGAATGTTGAGGCCACGTCTAGCACAAGGTAAGCATTATGTACGTGTTAAGAGAAGGCCCAGCATACTCTGACCACCAGAAGGAATGGCCTCAACAGAGATGCAGGGATGGGAGGTACACAACTTATTTAGAAATCAGTAAGCAGACTTACTGAGCTGGAGCAGAGGAGAGGAATCATCTGTCAAGGGCATACCTACAATTTGCAAATGACAGATGATTTGTAAAGGCAGGGAAAGCAGCTTCTCAAATATCTGGTTCTCTCTTACTAGCACACAGGAAAGTAGGGAACCCATCTGGGATCTTTCCAGGGACCTTCAATAGGTAGCATTCCCTGCTTTGAGCCCTCATGGCCTACCTTTATGACACTTCCAAAGCCACTTGGAATTATGTTTGGATTATGGCCTTGAAGTTGTGATCTTCTTGCCTTGATCCTTGGATGTTTGTACCCAAACAAAGGCTCCCAAGGGAATACAAAGGATAGAATTAAGGAATTAGGACTTACTGTTCTGTGACAGCCAAATTGGGTGGTAGGGATGTGAGCCCATTGCCTGTGAGGAGCAGGACACGGAGGTGTGGCAGAATCCCCAGGTCAGAGATGGCCTCTGCAGTCAGGCTATTGAAGGAAAGGTCCAAGAACTACCATGGGAAGAAAAAAGATGGGAGAATAGAAGTACTATGTATGACTAGGATGTTTCTTCATGAGGTAGGGGCTAGCTACATCTACCCCCTCACTTTCTAGAAAGTTCTAATACCCACAGGATAAAAATTCTCTCTGGATTAACACTCAGGCCCTCCTAGAGTCAGGTCCTAGCCTATTTTCCCGTCTTTGCTGCCACAGCAAATGTGCTTCTCCAGTGAGGCTGGTCAAATTGACTCCTCCCCACTCCTTGCTTCATCCCACTATCATTTCCTGCTGTGCTTTCCACTCAGAGAGGAAGGCTCTTCCACACATCCAAAGCCACTTCCCAAGGCCAACTCAAACTCCCTGCCTGGACTGGGGACTGAACCCAAGGCCTTCACAATAAGCTCCATCCCCAATCCTTTTGATTTTTTGAGACAAAATGTTTCACTAAGTTGCTCAGGATGGTCCTGAAGTTCTGATCTTGCCTTGGTCTCCCAAGTAGCTGCAACTATAGGAAGGATGTCTTCTTTCAAAACTTTTCTCAATTCCCTGGCCAGATGAAATTTCTTCCCCTGCTTTTGAATGATCTATCTAATCTGCTCTCAGGGTACTTATCAAATTCGACAAGATACAGCTGAAAATACATACAAGGAATAGGGATATTGGTATGTAGATGTGGTCTGTAAAATGTTTGGTACACACTAGATCACAAACCTTTTAAGGTCAAGGACCATGCCATTGTAACACTGTTTCCTTGTAAGCCAGTATAGGGCCTGGCACAAAGTAGGTATACAAAAAATGAGCAGAAAGAAACTGGCTTATAATGACCCCAAAT